GTTCAGCTTGGAATGTCGGGTCTCATCTCTCTCATCGACATTGCAACTCGAGAGGAGCCACTGTTGCAGGACGGGGTACGAAGGAGAAGGGGGTGAGTAGGCGACTGCTTGGGATAACTCTACTGTTCAGCCTGAGGAACCATGGGGTGATGGGCCATACTGTTGGGGAGATGAAGTGACGATACAATCTGAAGGGATATCTGAGGTATCATATCAGTAGCATACTCTATGCAGCTGCATATCACAGATTGGACAACAAACAGACCCACTCAGCAGTGGGGGAAGGAATAACAGTGTTTTTGAAGTAGAGAAGAAGGGATTAGGCAATACACCAGGAGCCACTTTGGAGGCATCATCGCCATCATCATCCATGAGAAGAAGACTACTCTATGCTAGGTGATACGTGAGGCACTTCGGAAATATCAGACGAGGTTCCCAGGTCTGCTGGTATGGGTATTCCTAGGATAAGCTCCTTGAAAGAGCAGCTTCACCTGGCATTGCAAGAGCAGCAGCGACTGAGTCTACTTGTTGATGATCTAACCAAGTATGCCCAAGGCTCAGACCTCAAGCTCTGATGAGGTCCTTGTCAGGGAGGTGGAGGAATCACGTCGGGAGATTGTGATACGACCGAGGATCGATATAATATGCAACGTGTTGTCGCCTTTAGATGATGGATCTATACACAGTAGGTGCATCTACGGTGTCCTATACATATACCTGACAACTCACTCGCGATGGTAGGTTGTATTTCGGTCTATGGCGATGGCGAGCAGGAGGTTACTGATTCAATTGAGAGTATCAACGCATCAGAAGGCCATAGGAATATAGCGCAGGCAGTGGTGAATAACATCATGACGTCTACGGCCATGGATTGGGCTCCCATGGATACCATTCTAGCTCGGGATGTAGTGGCAGATATCGTTCGATATGTTGTAGGTTGTTGTGAGATGGGCGAGAGGTAATGGTAGTAGTGCTTAGAGTTGGTCTTTCTCGAGTAGTGAGCCGTTGATGGCGTTGATCCAAGGGCCTTCGTCGATTGATCTGGATGCCTGTGTCATTGCTCCAACGTGACCTTTTCCATGAACATGCACATCGTGTCTCTCTATTTCTATTATACTTCTAGTCCCTTCCCATTGCGTCACTTGGCTTAGTCTGATCATTTAATCACTGCTTGTTGTTCATGCTTGCCATGCTGTCCTCCATCGGATGCATTACAGTCATACATTTCCCGTTGCGTTGAGCATGGGTTGGTTATCGAAGTTTCTTGGCTATACCAGAGCTAGCTAGACATCAATAACCATTTGTCGCAGGGCTATGGTATGTGTTGAAGGAGCTCAAATCTCATATGGTTAATGCTGGAAGTGTAGCCATTGGTTCTTGTGCGAGAATTACTCTCAGTCACTTCTACTGCCACGTCGTAAGACTACCGATGGGCCGCGTCTAGGCATTCCCGATGGTACCACTCCGTTGATCCACTTCTGTGGTATGTCAACGGCCTTTACATTCATTGGAGTCACAGTGGGAGAAGCTGATGCGGATGATGGAATAGGGTTAGATGGAGAGTGAGCTAGCTGTGGTATTGCATTTTGAGATATATTCCCAAAGGATGACATCTTATGAACAGGCTTAATCGTAATGATGATGCTAGGGTGGATCATGCTGTATATCGTGAGGCCGATTAAGGAAGCCTCAGTCGATGATTCACACTCAAACTATGAAACATAGTTCGTGATAGGTATCTGAGTAGTGTAGCACTGTCATTCTGTGATGCTATCAATGCCTTCGCCATCAACACATGCATTTAATCATGTGTGTCACTGAAGCTCGTATTGGTCTCTTTGTCCATAGTTATTTTCGCTGTCATGCGTATCCACCTTCAACACTAATGGATCAGGTTGAGTTGAGTGAACATACGTATCAATATATTGCATTAGTACTGTGAGACGGCTCGCCAAGCATGCTCAATGCCGTATATTGACAAGTGAGGATGGGAGCTCTCCATGCGGGTTCGCTCTTGATATTGCATGGCCAGACCGGAGCCTAATCTGGTCTGATGCCCCTGAGGGCCCAATCCTCAAGTGCCGGACGCGGCAAGACCACATCGGCTTAGTAGCAATAACGTGATAGTTTCCTGAGATCATCGTTATAGTGTAAGTAGAATGCACTCACTGCCCTTATAATTGGTCTATCTCCAATAGTCATTCCACATAGAGGCTCTATATCATACATGCAGCTATATGAGATATTTACATGTCCATTTAATACATCCCTTCTACTCCTCAAAATGTCTTACCCACGAACATCTCAATACGTGATATCACGATATAGACTGCTGCTGGCCCTATTCACCCTCATACCAGTGGCCATCTGCCTTATACCTATGTATGTAGCACCACGAGGAGCCTGGTATATACCTCATATGGTAATAGTATATGCTGCTTCTGCTGCCATTCGGCTTCGACTATTGTGTTATTCATTAGATTTTGGGGCCTATCTGGGCGGCAGTTGCGGCGGACTTCAACTACAAGTCGTGTAGAGACTTCACTAGGAAGGCCGTGGCTGGGATATGGATTGGAGCTACTACAGGAGTCCTTGTCCATTACCTCGTATCCCTCATGAGTGGTACTGTTGATAAACCTGATGAGTATCCAAGGTTATGGGCAGTATTCCTGCAATTGCCATTCACATTTATTTTCTGTTTGGCACGTTCGACATCAGGATGCAAGTTGGATGATGTATTCTATGGTCAGCACGCCCTGATTGTATCCTCTATACCCACTGAGTTCTTTACTATCAGTGCCTATGGTGAGGCTGTTGTCTATGCTGTATCTGGTACTGTAGGCATATTAGTCACCTTCACACTCATAGCAGTGATGAACCTACTACACTGGTTACCAAAACCAGGCCTCCCACCTCATGAAATGTTCAGCTATAGAGCTGCAGATTTCTATGATGTCCTAGCAACCCATGCTAACTCTGGTAGGAAGGAACATAGGATTGTTGAATCTACCTGCGAGGACTTCTTGGAAGCTTGTATGGGTATAACTGGAGGTGCGTGTCCCAAGGAGCTCTATGGTCCTGCCTGGCAGATGGCAGGCTTCCTTCTAGCCCTTCGACAGGTCGGTTTACGTGGCTGCTATTCTGACTTCATTATGGAGCACTATTGGGATCCACTAACAAGTGAGGTACTCAGACTACGTTCAGATGTGGGGGTGGTACTACGTAATGTTTTTGACCCTCGTGCGGAGCAAGTAGTTGTGGATACCAACCTCTCTGCGAGGGCTTCACGTGTGGAGTCTAAGCTATTGCGGGTGGATAATAAAGCCGAACAAGGATATATGAAGGGAGACTTCGTACCACCGAAGAGCTCCGAGTTCATGAGATTCCAGTTCATGATAGGCTCTATCATGTTCTTTGCTAAAAGGGCAGAGGAGTTCAAAGAAGCAGTCCTGAAAGTCCGACACGGCAAGCTCAACAGGAGTGGGGAGGTGATACTAATACCGGGGATAGAATACAGTGATGAAGCATCAGATATATTTCATGTATTCAGGTCCGTGGTATCCGTAAGATTTTCGCGGATTTTATTAACTTCTGGAAGGTATGGTGGAAGAAACCTTTCTTCAATAGGACGGCTGAAGAGCGAAGCATTCAACCGCAACTGATGTTCGGTATTCGCTTTACTGCCGCTATCGTTGTTGCATCGATTGTCTTAATCATTGGTGGGTGGTATAGTCATGGTGTATTCCACCATGCACGATGGGCCATAGTACCCCTCTACGTCTGCTTCATGCCTACAGTAGGGTCCTCTCTATTAAGGGGTACTCGGCGTGTATTGAGTACTATGACCGGTGCTGCGCTTGGTATGATATGTGTAGTCGCTAATTATGATGATCGTGCTGCTGTTTTGTGGAGGCTATGGTTATC